TACATATTTCTTGATTTATCAGCTTCAGAAATAAAGCAGTATCTATTGAATCCCTGTATTAGCTAGAAACCTTTTGGCAAGTTATTGTAACCTAATCTAATGTTGTTTATATAAAAATGAATATTTGATAAAATGCAATTGTGGTATCTAGTGGGTTTCAATAAAATTTCATTACCAATGAAGGAGAGAGATATATTTAATAGCTAGGCTTCAGGAACTGCAGGGACCAATGTAACCAAATGCAAGTCTGGATGCTTCCCACTTGCAAAGTCCTATTAACAAGAGTGAGGTCTGGTAGAAAGTGATTTTATTAAACAAAACAAAATGACAAGTGATTTTATTAAACAAAAGGAGATACGGCTAGATTCCCATGCAAAGCAACCACTTCCATTTTGGGGGGCAAGGCAAAGGCTTAAAAAGGGAAAACTTGATATGGATGGTATGCAAGCATTGTGCAGAGTACAATGTCTGTGTGTCTTGTTCCAGTGGCTATCTTGGGTTTCAGTCCACTGGGGAGCGCGGGCTGATGTCATTTCAACAATGGCCAGGTTGATTAGCCACTTTGAAGTAATCTCTGGAATTTTGTACCTGGGTCTGGGTTTGGACTTTCTGTCTCAATATTAGTCCCTGGAACTTCTACAGTGGCACATAATTAGATGCTAGCATACAGTTAGATAAATGTGAAGGGAGTATATATGATGAGAAAGGAAAGAACATGGAATCTATTTTAAGGCTAAGGAAAATGCATCTGCAGTTTGCTGCAAGGTTGTATCTTGAAATCCAACAGAAAGAGAAACACAAATTTTAAAATGTATTTTGAAGTTAAGCTGCCTGGTTACACTAAGAATTTCAATGTGATTGGCACATCTACTTTTTTCTACCGCTCTCTCAGGGTTAGTTTAATTCCCTTCTTTCCATGTTGAAGAAAGGGCCTTTTAAATTTTACTTTTTATGGTTTTAGCCATCTGGAAGATATTTGTCTGATTCTGTCTGCATCCTTACTCCAAAACACTTTACAAAGGCTACTGGATCTACCCAAGTCTGCTATTTGCCCAATTATAATGTGGTGGAATCCCTTGTGAACTGAAGACTCTTTTGGTCTGCTGAGTACCTACTAGGAAATTTTCCTGAGTTGTGTGGCAGCTGTACCTTGGGTTTCAGCTTGGTTCTCTGCATGATACTTTGATGATTTGGTGATAAGATATTCAGCAAGCTACTTTAGTGATAAGACATTCATATTTAAGAGCAATCATTTAACTTCTGAAATTTTTCATACGCACACATAGACATATACAGACTTAGGTGTTTATGTTTTTGCTATAACACTATATATGTATTCCTCAGGTTGTAAAAAACCAAGAGCTAAAAATAGCAGGGCTTCTAGAAAGGTATTGTTAAAGACAAACCAAAAAAAAAAAAAAAAAAAAAAAAAAAAAAAACCTGTGGAAATTTGTAACTAAAACACTAACCAAAACGTTAACAATGCTAGTAATAATATTGTCGTGGTTAAATTTCCAAAGAACATTTGAGCCTAGCATCAGAGTAAGTCAATCCCTATAGCTTTGCATAGCATTTTTTATAGCGGTTTTCAGATATTGTTAAGAGTTCTTTTTCTTAATTTGAAAAATTCTATTTCTAATTGCTTCAAAACATGAGTGTCTCTCCAAAGTGGATATTCAGAGATATGACAGCTTTCTCCACTTAACTCATTCTCCACAAATCATACTGGGTCATGAGCTGGAAAGCACATGTTGTTCTTGATTCTTGATATCCTTGTTGATCATCAGAATTCTACTGTACTTTGTTGCCACTCTTTGTGAATACTTTTTAATTAATTTATTATTTATCTATTTATTTGAGACAAGTTGTCACTCTGTTACCTAGGCTAGACTACAGTGGCACAATCACAGCTCACCTCAACCCCCTGGGCTTAAGCTCTTCTCCCACCTCAGCCTCCCGAGTAGTTGGGAATACAGTCTCCCGAGTATCTGGGATTATAAGCCTGGCTAGTTTTTTTTATTTTTAGTAGAGATGAAGTCTTGCTCTGTTACCCAGCTGGTCTCGAACTCCAGAGCTCAAGTGATCCTCCTGCTTCACCCTCCCAAAGTGCTGGGACTACAAGAATGAGCCACCATGCCCTGCCTCTCTGAATTTTTAATGAGTTTTTAGTTTTTCCTACTTTCAGTTTTGTTGAGGGGTTTTTTTTTTTTTCCAACATAGGATTCCTTGTGTTCCTTTTCACCAGTGAATTTCTTTCTTTCTCATAATGATTTTTCCCATTGATCCTGTGAGCTCTTTACGTAAAAGCATTAACTCCTTGTCATGCATTTTGTCAATATTTTTTCCTCAACTCGCTCCTCAGCTTTGAACAAACACCTTAGGCTATTCCCATCATAACCTACCATCTTTTACTTTTAGATTCCTATTGATCTTTGGCTGTTTGACATCTATTACTTAATGGCACCCACTCCCCATTCCTTCTGCCCAACTGTAGTCAATAATCTAATCTAATTTTCAGACCTCTTGCTCTCTATTTTAGCTAAGAAGAGGCTTACCTATGAAACCTGGTTTTCTTTTCTTTTCTTTTTTCTTTTTTTTTTGAGATGGAGCCTCACTCGGTTGCCCAGGCTGGAGTGCAGTAGATCAGTCTCGGCTCACTGCAACCTCCATCTTCTGCGTTCAAGTGATTCTCCCTAATTTTTTTATTTTGAGTAGAGATGGCGTTTCACCATGTTGGCCAGGCTGTTCTCAAAATCCTTACCTCAAGTGATCCACCTACCTTGGCCTCCCAAAGTTCTGAGATCACAGGTGTGAGCCATTGTGCCCAGCCTGAAGCCTGGTTTTTCCAAAAAACTCTTCCTAGTCTTGGGGTCTCTGAGTCCCTGGCACTCTGAGAATCCCGCCGTTCATAAAGGTGACCATGTCTGCTATAGCTTTTCAGTAGTGTCAGAGTGACCACCATTGGCATCAGGGATTTGTCACTGGCTGCAGTGACAACTGCTGGTCCTGCAGCTCTAGCTCCTGGTCAGGCACTTTGAAACTAGCATCTATCCTTTCCCCAACATACCTTACAAAAACAGCCACATATGCTCGTGCATTTCATGGCCGTTCTTTATTTTACCTTCAGCACAATGAAGATCTCATTAAATATGTTCTTCCAGCATGGCTTCAACTCTTGGAACCACTGTCAAGCTATAGTTACAATATTCTAGCTCTTCTGTGGTTACAGACATAATGCCTGTACTACAAGTATGAGAGATGACATTTTACTAAAACAAAGCATGAACAACTCGCTTTTCAAATCAGATTAGGCTCATACTTTGTGTTTCCCCACATCATCTCCACACAGGGACAGAGCTACAGTGTGTAAGGCCCTGGACAAATGTTTTTTGTAGGTCCCTATCCTGTATTTTAAAAATTGGTTAAAAATGTTTTACAAAATTCATGGGCACATATGAGGTACAGTGATCTTTCCATAAATATTTTAGGTGAATTGAGAAGTCCTTAGGTAGTTATCATCCAGAGAGCACACATAAAGATTCTTCATTCTGAGTGAAAGTCACCTCGGATCAGCACATCAGTACCATTCTGACTGTACAGTAGCATGTGATTCCATGAAAAGGATACATTCCCATCAGCAACAATGACCTGATGGCCAGACTCTCCTTCAGAAACTTGGGTTCAACCATGGAGACCCCATGGATAAAAGACCTGGAGCTTCTAAGGCGTCTGGTTGACCTGTCATGTTAGATAGAGAGTCAAAGATCACCTGCTGAAAGGGAAAGAAAAAAAAAAAAAAAAGACTAGCATCCACACAGGTTTTGGTCGAGGCTCATGTGCCCTGCCCAGATGGCATTGTCAATCCTGTCCAGTTCTACACACTGAACTGTGATTTAGACAACTTCAAAGAAGGTATTCTGAAGTGTGGGGCCCCACGAGACATGGGGCCCTGATCATGGGTCCCACTTGCCTGGGTGAGGGGTAGAACTATTCCAGTGTCTAGGCTGTAAGGGTCTATATCTCATCACCCATTCTTTGAACTGGTATAAGGGTGCAATTTATTTATTTCAAGTTGTAATGTCATAAAAAGATATGAGTAATCTTAAGTAATGGAAGTTTTTTTTTGTTTTTTGTTTTTTTTTTTTGAGACCGAGTCTTGCTCTGTTGCCCAGGCTGAGCAATGGCATGATCTCGGCTCACTGCAACCTATGCCTCCCAGGTTCAAGAGATTTTCTTTAATTTTTCTCTTTGGTGAATTGCTTGTTTTGGTCCATTACTAATTTATCTAGTTACAACAGAGTATTTTCCATATCTGTTTATGTGTGCTAATCCTAACTTCAAGATATTGGCAATTTTTGCCATATTTATATGAATTAACTTCTTTTTTTGTTTTTGTTTTTGCTTGTTTTTAGACTTTGGATAAATTTATCTTTCATGAACAGAATTTTGGAATTTTTTAAATAATCAAAACTGTTAATATTTTCCTTTGTAATTTATTTCATTCCTTTGGCCCTTAAATGTGCCCCTTTTCTATTTCATAGGTTTGCTAAACATTTATTTCAAACTTCCTCTATTTTTTACATAGCCATTATTTAAAATATTTATTCTCTAAATAAGTGAAGTAATTATGTAATTATGTAGATAGTGAGGTAAGAATCTAAGTTCATGTTTTAAATAAATAATTTTCTAATTCTTCCATCCGTGTTAATTTTAAAAACTTATAAAACTCATTTATGATGTTACCCTTTCTCCATTATACATTTTTATATGAGAAAGAATTTGTGTCTCAGTTCATTCATTTACAAATAGTCCGGATTAGGTTTAAAAATCAAAGTAAAAAGGAGGCTTTCTTATTCAATAAATTTTAATCAGCTCAAATTCTATAGTATAATTTTTTGTCTAACATGTTCACCTGATTTAATCTGAATTTTATAATTTCTTGACTTCTTGCTTTTTAGAACAGCGTTTGCATTATTTCATAAATGAACTTTGAATAAAAATTGACATCAATTTATTTTTATTTTATAATCCACAGAACATTTCAAATTAAAGAAATACAATGCTAAAGTCTCCAGTTTTTGCTTTAATTTCACATTTCATATACTGCACAATATTTAGGAAGTAGTCATTTTGACTGTTTTATATCTGGGATAGAGATGCAGCAACAATTCTGCCAGACGGTTAAATGCCCCAGAGGATTTCTGCTCTTCTCTTTCTAACATGGGAGATACAAAGCAGTTTTTACTCCCAACATAAATTCTCGATAAAAATTATAACTGTTGATTTTTCATGGTAGGCATTAAGGATGACACGCAAGTTAAAAAAAAAAAAAAAAAAAAGCCTTGTTACCAAGTTAACTTTCTCTTGAAATCTTACTTGGATGCTAAATTTATTTGCTGCAAACCAACTTAAAACAAATTTGTTATTCTGTTAGCTTTTTTCCCTTTATGTTTTCTTTATTTCATCTTCTCCTTTCTCTCTCTTTCCCTCTGTCTTTCTTTCTGGCATGTTTAATTAGAGAACGTCTTCTATAAACATTATTAAGAATAATTATCCTTGAGAAACGATGGATAATATAACTGAAATGAAAATAATAAAGAAAATGCCACATGAAATCTCTTCGTCTTGAACCATATTCAGACACCATTAGCTCTGACCACTGCAATAGGAAATGAAAAAGAGAGTACTTTTTCACTGAAAATTTCAACGTTCAAAGAAACAAAGAAATGGCCACATTTCCCACATTCATAATACTGGAAATGAACCACAGGCTTTTTGAATAATACTCCAGTGAACTCATGTCCTTAAATGAAAAGGGCAGCCACAGACATCTGCCCACTGGAGCTCTCCTGTGCCCACATTTAGGGATGCATCCTCCCTTACAAGGGCAGCCACCTGTGGAAATGGCTTCTTAAATAACTGTCTGCATCAAAGACCATATGGTATGGCTTAATCACTGTACAAAGACTCTGCAGAGAAGTTGGAATTGAAATCCATAGAGAAACAAATGAGGGATGATGCTTGATGACTAAGAGTCAATCCAGGAAAGAGAATTCTTCATGGGTGTAACATCTATTTCAATAACAAACACTCCCCCAGTGACTCATATCTATTTGTCTGTGAAGTTACAAAAGAAGATCCCCAGAGAAAGTGCTTTCCAAGTTGCTAGATGTAAGTTTAAGAAAGAAAACTTTTCCCTTTAGAAAAATGTAAGTTTGGTTTTAAACTTGAGGCTTATTTTTAGGTTAAATGAGTTGGATTTTTTTCCTGTTGCTTTTCTAATAACATAATGACAACAATGGAGAAAAGGTAAATCATCATGTCAGCAAATTCAAGAATTTTGCCTCAAGGAAGTAGATAACTATTCTTGGGAAAAGTACCTAAAGAGTTTGTCCAGAAAATATAGTGGCAAAAATGAAACATCCAGTGACACCAAAAGAGTTCAGTTTCCTGTGCTTGAGTCCCATACTTCTCATAATGAGTAAAATCAAGGAACTTAGAATGTCCTCTGTTCTGTCATTTTGTGCCCACATATTCCACTAAAAATCTAAGATTGGCCAGGCATGGTGTCTCATGCCTATAATTCCAGCACTTTGGGATTTGGGAGGCCGAGGTGGGAAGATCACTTGAGCTCAGGAGTTTGAGACAAGTATGGGCAACATAGTGAAGCTTCCTTCATCTCTAGTAAAATTCAAAAACATTTAGCCGGGTAAGGTAGGGCACCCCTGTAGTCCCAGCTACTTGGGGCACTGAGATGGGTGGATTGCTTGAGCCTGGGAGATAGAGGTTGCAGTGAGTTTTGATCATGTCACTAGACTCCCAGCCTGGGTGACAGACCAAGATCCTGTCTCAAAAAAAAAAATAAATAAAAAATCCAAGATTGAAAAATGTCAGTGTGATTCACTTGCCATTCTAAAGAAAGTAAAATCTAAATTCCTCAGATTTTTTTTTTAAGTGACACAGTGATTTTTCTCTCTTTATAGTCACATTGGAAGTGAATGAGGATTGTAATCCACAAATATTCAAAGTTTTAATTTTAAAGTATATGTAATTCAGCTTAGCTGATTCTTATATTAGAATCACTATTTTTAATAAGCCTCACATTGAATACAAAATGCATAAATATAAAACTCTTGAGGGAAAATATTACATGTTTTTGAAACAAAAGGGAAAACGTGTTCAAAGAAAATGTGTTTTACATTGTAAGGTCCAACTTACACAATCATGTTTCAACTTGGAACTCATCAGTTATTTGGGCCATGCCCTCAAAATTCTGTTTAGCCTATTTATGATTTCCTTTCAATAAAAGACAAGAAAAGAAAGAAACATCAACCAAAAGTACCCCACTCAGGAATCCGGGAATGCCTTGATGATAGACTCATAGGCAGGTGGGGGCGGGGTTGAAAGGCCGACTCGAAGACTGTTACTGGACCAGTGGAAATCAGGACGGCTCAGACTGTGGGAAGTGCTGATGGTGGGAGAGATACTGGAAGAAGCTAGAGTCACCAGGTGACTCTCAGTTTCCACAGGAAGTGGTGGACATTGCAGAAACGGATGGAAAGTAGAAGCTCTGAAACTTGATTTTCTCGGAAAGGAATTTGCTTGTTCCAGGGACGCTTGTCGCTGGAAAGTGAGACTGGCCAGGCTGAGGTTGCTTCGACGTTCACAGCTACTGTGGCGGTAAAATCCAGTTCTGTTGAGGCCGTGGGTGTAAGAAGACCTAGATCTCCTGCTTGAACTCCACTGTGAGATGGGAGCACTTGCTCTTCTTCTTCGAGACAGAAAAATTAACACAGCCCAAATAAATCCTCCAAGTACCAACCCAATTGCCATGGATACGGTGAAGGACATGATAAGGTCCTCTGAAACAAAGGAAAAAAATTGCTAAATCAATTTTTAATTAGGTTTTCAACTAAAAACAAGGGGCAGCGTATATATTGCAATTCATAGAATCCATGATTAATTTAAATATACTTTGAATTAGGGAAATAGAAGACAGTGTTAGGTGGATATGAACAAATGGAAGCTGATAATGCTTCCATTTATTCAAGCCAAAAGATACAAAATAACACTTTCAGCTGTGGCATTCCAGGTCACTTAAGCTGTTTTATCACCTTTAAGAAATAAAAGAGAAAAATAGTCTCACTTGATGTCATTAAATTACGGTGTTTAGTTCATACATTTTTATAGAGTTGAAAATGTAGCCCAAAGTGGATTTCCTTTTGAGTTATAGTAGTAACTAATGTGCCAGAATTTTGTCATCACTTTAACTTTGCCTTTTCCTCTGTCTGCTTTCATCAATCACATCGATTTCTTCCACCTGCAGTCTTCATGATGCCTCACTTCCTTTGCTGTTTCTGAGGCAGGAAGTGCTGGGGTAGAACCATCTGGCCAGCTGACTGATTTATGCCATATTTCCTGAACTCCCAGACAGTCACCTATATCTCTGACTCTGATGACTTGACCTGTGCAGACTACTGGGCTCTTTCTTATTTCCCAGATTCCAGCTCATGCTTCTATTATGCCCTTGTGATGATGAAATTCCTGTCACCTGGACCTCCATAGAGTCTCTGCTACACACCAGTATTCTCCTATAATTCACAGAACTTGTAATTTATTCAGATTTCCTTTTCTGGGGAGAAAAATGGCTCTTCCTAATGGAAATGCTATCTTACTACTTCTTGTGAACTAAAAACATATTCTTGAGTGAAACTGGGTAACTGAGTCTCCCCCTGCCACACTGCTTTACATAGAAAAACTCTGGATATTAGAAGACTCCTCCAGCCTCATGGTCCCCGACATTTCCCCACCATGATCTAACTCATTATCCCCCACATTTCCCCTCTATGATCTAACCCACTAGTCATGTTGTTTTCTCAGTGTCCGAAAGCCTGTCATTCTGTCTAAAACTCTGTGCTTTTCCACATATTTTTTTCCTTATTCTCTGAATTCAATTTTCTAATCTTCTGTCTGGAAACCTCATTCTTCAAGATCTACTTCAAGTATCGCATCTTCAATAAAGACTCCTACATTTCCTAGACAAAAATGTGTAAGGAGAAAGGTAGACTACCTTATCTAATTGCCTATCTAGGTGTTCTGTATTGAGAGAGCCATAGCCTAGAGATTATTAACAGCCCCATGGCTGTTGTGAGACTGGGGAAGAGGAGAAGAAAATAGCCACAAATGTTTCACTCTTCCTCCCATCAAGAGATAAGAGTCTGTTTCCCCACTCCTTGAATCTGGATAGGCTTCTTGACTTGATTTCATGAGTAAGATGCAATGGAATTGAAGCTATACAAGTTCAAGGCAAAGCTACAAGAGGCTCAGCTTCCACCCTTCCTGCTCTTGGGAGCCCTGCCACTGCCAGCTTATAAGTAAGGCCAGACTAGTCTGCCAGATGATGAGAGACAGATAGCCCAGGAACCCCTATTGCCCTAGTCAAGAGCCTGCTAACCTGGACATATAAATGGCATCATCCTAGATAATGCAGATGATAGTCAACTCACCGAATGATTGTGGCACATGAACAAAGACCAACAGAAAACCCCACTAAGCTGATTTCATCCCAAATTGCCAATCCACAGAATTATGAGCTAAGATAATTATTATTATTTTAAGCTACTATGTTTGGAGGTGGACTGTTACATGCCAAAAGCTCCCTGATGCAGGGTTCCAAACTCAGCTCTATTCCTAATATGTTGTATGATTTTTAGGGAATTTGTTTAGACCCACTGATTTCATTATACACACACACACACACACACACACACACACACACACACACGAGGGAGTTAGATTTTATGATTGCCAAGGTTCTTTTTAGCATATTGTTGTAATCTATGATAATATATACACCACCTAGAACATGGAAGTAACAAAACAAACTAATGTTAATAACTTACAAAGGAATAATCACTGCTGCCTAATTTTAGTATATATCTCAGTGTCCTTCCACCACATATTGTCACATTTATCTCCTGTGGAAAAGCTGTATTTATTGTGTTCTACTTTCACAGTTCTCCGTACAATTAGTTATATCGAAATTCTCTAAAATTTGGTTTTAGGCAAAGGACCCAGGCACCTTTTTTAGTGTATTATATCGCTTACTCCTCAAACACCCCAATAATGGAAATGCTAGTGTTATTCCCATTTAATAGTTGTGGCTACTGAGAAGTAGGTAACAAGCTTGTAGTCTCACAGCTGGTGAAGGTCAAGTAAGGATTAAAAACCAAAGCATCTTAATAGATAAATTGCTTTTTTGTTTCTTAAGTGTAAGGCAAGAAAATATTGAAAAGAAATAAAAATGAAATCTAAAATGAAAATAAGCAACATAAAGTGCATAAAAATTGAGTTGATTCAATACCAGAGTGTCTTGTGGCCTGTTATGAACAGAAATATTTGAGAGAATGGTGGTTAAATAATACTGTGTGTTCTACAGATGTATTTTCATGAATCAATAGCCTTTCATGGAGACTTTTAAATATCAACAAGTTCAGCTATGAACTCATAGAAATGGAATTTCAGCTAAAACAAGCTCTTAAAAATGTATTGGACACAAATTCCTCCTTTTATAGATATTGAAACAGAAGCTAAGGTTTATGTAGTAGAATTAACACTTCATTTATTTTAATAATTGATTAACAAGTATCACTGGTTAGGGAACTATTGGTTACACTCATGTATGATATAAATGAGAAGACAAATACTCAAATTTACAAACTATACGTACTTGCTATTGTGTGTAAGTGTATCTGACCACTACAAGAGTCTGACTGAAGTTTCTAAATATCTCAGTATACAAGCAGGCATAATAGATAGAATTTAAAAAGAGATATTTCCATAATGGTTGCACTAATTTACACTCCCACCAACAGTGTAAAAGCACTCCTATTTCTCCACATCCTCTCCGGCATCTGTTGTCTCCAGATTTTTTAATGATTGCCATTCTAACTGGTGTGAGATGGTATCTCAATGTGGTTTTGATTTGCATTTCTCTAATGACCAGTGATGATGAGCATATTTTCATACATTTGTTGGCTGCATAAATGTCTTCTTCTGAAAAGTGCCTGTTCATATCCTTTGCCCACTTTTTGATGGGGTTGTTTTTTTTCTTGTAAATTTGTTTTTGTTCTTTGTAGATTCTGGGTATTTGCCCTTTGTCAGATGGGTAGATTACAAAAAATTTTTTCCCATTCTGTTGGTTGCCAGTTCACTCTAATGGTTGTTTCTTTTGCTGTGCAGAAGCTCTGGAGTTTAATTAGATCCCATTTGTCTATTTTGGCTTTTGTTGCCATTTCTTTTGGTGTTTTAGTCATGAAGTACTTGCCTATGCCTATGTCCTGAATGGTATTGCCTATGTTTTCTTCTAGGGTTTTTATGGTGTTAGGTCTTACATTTAAATCTTTAATCCATCTGGAGTTAATTTTTGTATGATGTGTAAGGAAGGGGCCCAGTTTCAGTTTTCTGCACATGGCTAGCCAGCTTTCCCAATACCATTTATTAAACAGGGAATCCTTTCTCCATTGCTTGTTTTTGTCAGGTTTGTCAAAGAACAGATGGTTGTGGATATGTGGAGTTACTTCCAAGGCCTCTATTTTGTAAGACAGTGTGGTGGCTATTCCTCAAGGATCTAGAAATAGAAATACCATTTGACCCAGCAGTCCCATTATTAGGTATATACCCAAAGGATTATAAATCATTCTTTTATAAAGACATATGCACACATATGTTCATTGCAGCACTGTTTACAATAATAAAGACTTGGAACCAACACAAATGCCCATCAAGGGTAGATTGGATAGAGAAAATGTGGCACATATACACTATGGAATACTATGCAGCCATAAGGAAGTATGAGTTAATGTCCTTTGCAGGGACATGGATGAATCTGGAAACCATGATTCTCAGCAAACTGACATGGAACAGAAAACCAAACACTGCATGTTTTCACTCATAAATGGGTGTTGAACAATGAGAACATATGGACACAGGGAGGGGAACGTCACACACTGGGGTCTGTTGGGGGTGGGGGGCTGGGGAGGGATAGCAGGGGGTGGGGAGATTGGAGAAGGATAACATTAGGAGAAATACCTAACGTAGGTGATGGGGGGATGGAGGCAGCAAACCACCATGGCATGCGTATACCTATGTAACAATCCTGCAAGATCTGCACATGTACCCCAAACTTAAAGTATAATAGTAGTAATAATAGTAATATAGCCAACTAGCAGCCCTTAGAGCTGCTCTGCCTATGGAGTAGCCATTCTTTTATTACTTTACTTTTTAAATAAACTTGCTTTCACTGTAAAAAAAAAAAAAAAAAGAAAAGAAAGAGAGATTTCCTTGATTTCAGCAAAATGAAGTTAAAACCAGAATCTGAAAGGAGAACATATATTCATTTACCTAATGAAGGCTTTAAAGGTTCCAAGAGTTCTTATACTTGGTCTCTGTGTATGCCCTTTGAGTCTCTCACCTGACAAATCAGATATTCCCAATATAAATGTTATTTATGGTGAAATAATAGCAAACTTTATATTCAAGAAAAAAATAGAAACTATTTAAATACATAATCAATGAAGAATAATTTCTTGACTATTAAAGTGACTTGAGGCCAGGCACAGTGTCTCATGCCTGTAACCCCAGCAGTTTGGTAGGAGGTGAGAGGATTGCTTGAGCCCAGACCAGCCTGGGCAATGTAGTGGGACCTGTCTCTACAAAAAGTAAAAATAAATTAATTAAATAAAATACAGCAATTGAGTAAATTAGCAAAGATGACAACAATACATGAAGTGAGAAATATATTTATATTTCAGATGACTGTTTTATTTCCAAAATATATTATTGCTCTGATGTAAGAAAACTA